GAACAGCAAGCTCTTCAGTTGTAAAAAAATTCGGATTACAAGAATGAGTAGATTTCGTTTGCGGATGCGACTTTAAGAAGGAGGAGTTGCTGGACGCACAAACACTAGTGCCTCCTATCGTTTTGAACTATTGATCTAAAATCCTGTCCTACTTTGAAGAGGGAGCTGGAATCTGGAATGGGTGGATTTAAACTTCTAGTAAATATGTTCGCGCAAAAGAGGGTAGAGAAGAAAGGGGTGAAAGTGTAACACCTTAAATCACATACGAAAACAATCCGAGTAAATAGATTGAAGGGCAGGAGATGAATAAGGCCAGCATTCTCACGAAAAGAGATTATTGCAACGGATACATCTGTTGCAGAGCATTAGTCGACCCTAAATAATGTTAGGCGATTTGAATATTCAAGACTCGCAGTATTGGTAATTATTCGTTGCTAACGCGGCCATTATTTAAAGGAGGCACGAGGACAAGCAATCACCAGAACTTATCCACATCACTGTCTTCAGTAAGTTCAATAAACCCCTTCCACTTCAAACACTTCTGTTACGATAGCTGGTGTGGAAGAATAAACCGAGGAAGTTCCGATGATAACATCCTCTAAAGCGAAAAAAGTCCCCGAGTTCGAAGATTGTTATCACGAAAGAACTCTATGAAGCACGAAGGCTCGCGATATGCAATCAACCCAGTACGATATGGATTCAATCCTTCGAACATTTCAAACCAACCAAGGATACCTCCATTAAATGTTTGCAAATCCAAACACTCACCAGCAAGAGCCAAGTGACCATCAGATTTCCTAATACAAGTTCGTTTGGTCACTGGTGTATCGCTTGATCCCATCGATTCTGACACCGTACGCTTGTGTTTCCGCTCTCCCTGTGTCCCTCCGTGGCTCCGATGATGTCCACGGCAGTCTCGCAGCTCCTGTTTAATCGATTCTATCGCCGATCTAACCATAGAAGAATTGAGCTCCCGTTTCTCTGGTAGGCTGTAAAGGGGATAAGAGGTGTGGAAGGGATTGACCTAAACCGCCGAAAGAACTTTTCGTGGTGATTCCACGAATTACTCTCTGCACTCGACCGTTTCGAGGGACATTCAAATAACTACACGACTTTCTACCAGCGTAATAGTTCACATGCATTAAAAGCCACCTTGAGGACCAGTCTAGTCATACCATCTGCACAACCAATAGACACCCTACGCACTCATGCAGGGAGAGGCCCGTGCTTGGTAGTCACGATGTCCACTGATCGGTGGCAGTCGGGAGAAGACTGTTTCTAATCCACAACTTTATTACCTGCCTGCCATTTCCACTTTATTCTCCTAACGAACGTCGAACCAGTACAACACCTGATTCCACCAGCATAAGCGTATTGCGTGATAAAGTTGTTTGTGAGCCTACGTTCCCTATAGCGCCATCGACGAAAAAAAATGTCCAATCCTGAAGATTCAATGCTCACTGGATGCTAAGACAGCTCAATGCTGTAATAACCCTAAGTCACACCGAACAAATCATTCGGAAAAAACCGATCCCGCTCCCTGAACATCAATTATTCATCCTGCAAACCCACAGCCCCCCAACTTGGTATGAAGAACTTCAGTAGTTTCGAAGTAACGAGTAGTCTTCTTCCTCCTCTGGAATCCAGAACAAGGGTAAATCCAACTGAATCATGAACTGACATTAAACGACCAAGATGTTTGTGAGTTTCATTGCGGCAAAAAGATGGATACTTCAGCAATGGCCTCAGTCAATGCAGCCAATCGGCGCTCTCAAGCAGGCAAATGACTAGATTTATCTAAACTACAAGGTACAGCCGCAGGCTCTTATAACAATTAGCAAAGGTTTTAGGATCGGCCAGGACTCAAAAGTATAGTTTTCTATGCTCAGTCATGTGCTCTTAGAAAGTAAACACTGTCTTTTGAGCTATGCAAAGTATCATTTATCCTTCTGTCAATCACACTCACATTTTACTGGACCACAAGTTTATGAACTACTGCCGGTGAGAGAAGGGTCCCAATTTGAAACAACGTTTGGCTTATAGAAATAAATAATGCGAATTAGATCGCAAACAATTCATTTTCTTATAGCATTCTTGTATTCTAACTACCAGTTGTACTTGGAGTATGCAATGAAAGGATAGCAAAAAGCAAGCAAGAAAAACAAAGTAGAAAGAAGACAAAAGAGGATGAGGACAATTTCACTCTACCCTAAAGTGTTTCATGTGTTCTTCTTGTGGATGAGTTTTGCGGAGTGGAGTATACGCCCTTGCGCTGCACTGCCCCAAAGAAATAACATATTATAACCGATTCCCTATTCTTGGGGATTCACAAGGGAGTCGTATCAAGCTTAAGTTGCTAAATAAGTTACTGCCTTAGCTCAATTTAGACTTCAGTAGAGAACTCCAAGGGAATAGATTTAACAGACCACTGCTCACATGCGCTAAATGTGGCAAAAGGACCTTCAGGGACACCTAGAATCGTTTGTTTACTTAAAGCTGGAACGCAATAGTGATTTTGCCTTAGAAGTCTAAAACTGGTACAACAAAATCTGTGTGAGGCAACACATTGGAAATAAAACTAAAAAGGTTAGAAATAAGGTTATATCTGGTTCGCCTAAGCAAAACCAAAAACATTCCTGTGCTATTCGTGATTTCAGTTTGGTATTCAGGATACCAGACAGAGGATTCCTGCCACTAAGTCCATAAATTATGTGAGACACTAAAAAAGCCAGTGAGCAAAATCGGCTTATAGAAATTATTCTGACAGTTTGCGAGTGTCTAAAAAAGTATACGCTTGCAATTTCTTGAGAACAAAAAAAGACATAACAGGCCAATCGCAAATGTCGCAAGCGTGTTGGTGTGAGTTCTCAGCCGGATACATCTAAGACGGTAAATAAAAGTCGGATATGAGCCCAAGTTTTTGCCTTTGCAGTACCATATCGTAAGAAACACTTAAAATGTAGGTGGTGGTGACAGTTAAATGTCTCTGAAGAATGTGGTGGTGAACGCGAAAGTCTGGAAATACAGACTTATGCTCCAGGCGAAAAGATAGGTTCCACGGGACATCGCCTTGCTTAAGATAGCCACAGTGGTCGACGTGTATGGACAATGAAAAGGTCGTTAAGTCTTGATAAAGATGAGAAAGCGAGAACCGCGGACTGCTGCGCTAAGTGAATTACAGCAAATCACATCAAATTCACCAACAAAGTGCATTTGTATGTGAATGAAAAAAGTAGATTGCTAACTTATCCACGTTCGGGATCCATCCGGGTGGGATGAAGTTTTTGGTAGCCTGCGACAAGAGATACTACACCATTCTAGTGAAAGCTCCGTTGTCGCCATGAGGTAGTGAGCAAAAGCAGCAGTAGCGGTTTGGAGGCAAAGCCTCCTATTTGCAGAGAAGGAGAAAAGTGAATTAGCTATGAAAGAAAGACAATGACAAAGCACTTCCGACTCACGCCCATCGAACTGCCAACACTCTGCGATCCATGACACAACACCTTCCACATAAACGACGCTGACATTTGTCGCACCACATCATGCGGTCGAATTGTCCGTCGACTCACATCGCCCAACAGTCTCTCCTGACAGAGCACAAACAATTACGCCCGACTAGAAGTAGAAAGATCAAGGCAAAGACATCACACCTCAACACCCATGCAATGGTCTCGCACAGCCTTTGTGAAGCGGCGAACAACAAACACCCTAGTAAATTTTAACCACCCCATTGAACTTCGCCAACCCTTGACCCAGTCCTAACACCACCCACCTTTTGTGCCCTCTACACCCTCTCCCAATGTCTGCCATTCATCCATTCCTTCATTCACTCACAAACTCCGTCCGTCAAATCACATGCCTTTCCACCAGCCTTGTCATCGCCCACCTGCGGGTTGGGTGAAGAAACCGATGTTTAAATCCAACATCTCCACTCCTGAATTGTATCCATGAGGCACATAAGGATAGACAAAACTACTCATCCTTGCTCTCTCCTCCTCCCCCATTGTGTTCGTCATTGCTGCACAATTGGGAGAGAAAGGCGGTAGTTGGGATGAACAAGGTAAGCACGTTTAGCTCCTGACGAGCTTGCAATTCGTTTTGGGGCGAATGTGAGTGAATCAACATAAGTCGGCGGGCTTTTTACGATTTATGAAAATGCATTGCACCCAGAAACGACGCCTTAAAGATACTAAAAATATCAGATGACAGGGCTAACAAATAACGCGTGTCAGGGTTAGCAAAACTTAGAAAAGTAGGCAAAGAAAGTGATGAGGATGGAGAAGGAAATACAGAGACTCCATAAATAAGAACGGTGGTGTATAATTTCAGCAAGGCATGAGAGAAATGTGGAAATGGATAATCTTTGAAGCGATCCGCCTAATTGTAGCGCTAACATTCTACTACGTTCTCAAATTTAATAAAAGCCATTCCTAAACAACTGCTAACAGATGTTAGAAGTTAAAACCGCACCAGACCTTTGGTCTTTGGACACTAGGGCCACCAATGGGATGATTTCCTTCAATGTAAAAGCGAGTAGGCTTGGAAGGAAGTGAAGAACCACTACGTCTAGATCACTCTAGACAGTATGCAATCACTAAACCGCAGTAAAAGGCGGTGCTACAAAGTGCACGGGCATTTAAAAGCCTTGATGCAAACCACCTAGTTAGCCGACAAGGGTGTGATGTCGTCGATTGCCTTGGCACTTCAAAGACCATACCACCTTGGAACGAAAAACAAACTTAAGCATATCTTTAAGCGCGGTTGATACATTCAAAGTTTCGCTAAAATCCGGCTTTGTCAACCATCTATGTTGATGTCCTTAGGTAATTGGTCACTAAAAACAAAGTCGCCTAAGGATACGGAGAGTAAATGGAAATGGAAATGGACACTCGAGTGCCGTCACAACAGAATGGTGTCAGAAAAACTTATTTATTAAGTTCACCAAAGAAGAACATTATATTTCAGACTAAGCAGTGAAGACAGACGAAATACGGTGGAAGCAGTTCCATAGTTTTGCATTTCGACAAATTTCCTACCATCAAGTATGGCCCAAGAGTGCGTCAAAAATGAGCAAAATGATGCAAATGCGAAAAGTTTCGACCTTAGAGCATACCCAAAGGAGCTTTTTAAAATAAGGTAACAGCGATAGAAGCCATCCCAATAGGATAAATGGTTGGCGATGAAGGACCAAGATTGGTGGAGGCCAGAAACCGTGGGTTAATTTCACCAATGTTTCAGACATATTGTGCAGTTTTACCCCAAAATACACAAACACATGTCCCATGACGGAAGAGGGACCAAAACAAGTGTTTACTTTCTGTTCAAATATGTCTGATGTTCTAGAGTCGAATTAATTTGAAAACTATATTCGTGAGGGAGTTACAAGGGCACCGCACTGTTGCACTTAGTCAAATCCCTCATTTTGGGAGCCACCTCCCAAATGTTGTGTTTTCTACCTTTAAAGCAACACACAACCAAATTTCCTCTTTTCATTCACCTGTGATGACACTGATTGCACCTATGTGTTAGAGACACCAATGGGGTGGAACGTCACTCTAGCACAAAATCCTCACACATTGTGAGGGTGGGCCAGTTGGACATCTGGCATGAAGTAGGAAATAGAAAGGGACAGAAGACGCACCACCTTCTGACGTCACCCAAGAAAGAATTTCACAACTTTTATTGGCATAAATTGTTTGGGAGCAAATTTCAAATTACTTGATTGAGTCACAAAACACACGAAATCGACTTTGAATTCTATAAAATGCGAAAATCGCTTCAGCATGTAAATTGAGACAGCAAAATCTCTGATCGATTCCTTAACTTTGACTTTAAAAAGGCATTGACGATTTCCTCTACAATGCCTTGTACTAGGAACATACACGTCATGTGCTATCATTGTTGCGCCAAAAGCGACCGTTCAATGTTGTTTGAAGTTCCACAAGGTGGCTTGGTAAGAGTCGCAGAATGGAGGTCAAATACCTCCACCAAGTGGATAATTATGCACAACATTGCTCCGACAAATGACGCCCTCAATAAACCTTTTAATTCTTTAAAAGCCTTACTAGTGTGGATTTTGAAGAGGCCTACTTTAATGACCACTCAAGCCAGAAAAAGTAAAACGACTTTTCAAAGTGGGTCATTCGAATTTAGTGGAACTATGACCATTATTTTTGATGCGATCTCCGGTTACACACATCTTTCTCACACATTCCTGGACGTACCATCAATTTATGCACCATTTCGATTCACTTTGGCATCGAGGTGAATGCCCACACACACAACGTAAACATACCTTTTATTGGCATAGTTGCCATTCAAAGACAATTGGATGTGGCCTTTTGAGCGTTTGAGGGTGAAGCGTAGTTCAACCATCTTCAAATGGTTATTATTTCAGCACTCGTGAATAAATGTTTCGGTGCGTCTTTACCAGTCAACAATGAAGTAGAAAGGGCTTTTTGCTCCCCATAGAACTCTTGTTGAAGTAATAACGTGTTTCAAGGCCTAGAACCGTTGTTGTCACTGCCAATTCACAGGTAACTTAAGATGGATACATGTACTGCAGAGATGGTTCGTTACAAATCTAGTAAACAATCGCTAACCTTATTGCAAGATGAAGACGAATTCCCTTTACTAACATATCGTGTTACTAAAATGGCCTTCTCCCCCAAAACCATAGGAGGATAAAGTAAAGCTCGTGTCTCTTAGACGCGCCACAGTCACTATTGATGATGGTCAAATGAGGCTTCCCAAGACAAGCCGATCTTTGAAAGTCAACTACATGGGATAAGTGTGCAGTTAAAAGGGAGAGACTGAATTGGAACCACGCTTGACTTGAAGAGACTAAATTGACATACCCCCGCGATGGCATAACTGGATCGATTTTGCTTTTACAGCAAAACGACTAAACAGGACTGAGGAGGGAAGCAGTCGGATAATAAGAGAATGAGAAAACTTGGTTAAGGTGTTTTTGTTCAGTGCCCGAAAATAGCTGCCAAGGTCTCTATTTTCGGGTGTAACTGCCTGAATTAGTCACAGTTAAAAGCAAATGGGTGACTCACTTTGCAACCTCCATCACCACTTCCGTATCATCCTTTATAAATGGATGATGCTGCTGCAGTGATAAGCGGTGTTGATTATGACGTCTGCGATGATGTTGATGGTGACGGTGTCGAGACCTCCCATGGAGCGCAGCGGGTGAATTAGCATCTGGATCAAAGGCGTGAACACTGTAGTCATGATCCAATGGGAACTGCGATTCAGGCAATCGCTGCCAGCGGAAATGCGAGGCCCACAACCAGCGAGGTGAGACAATGTGAAGTGGAGATGACTGAGAGGGATCAGTGGCGCACTGCATTTGGAAGTTCCGGGCTGCCATAACTTTCTCTGTATTCTGACGGCACGCCACGAGATGAGTAGTGAAGGCTCGGTGACTAGCAAGCGCAAAGGTAACGGTAGCACATTAGGATTGATAAATACAACGCTTTTCTTTCGAAGGCCAACTATCTTCTTCTCCACAAGGTTACATCAAACGTTAAAAGTAAATTGTGAAATTAGGAAACAAACTAGATTTGCAAAATATATTAGATTTATGGAATTCAAAGTCGATTTCATGTGTTTTGTGACTCAATCAAGTAATTGGAATTTTCCATTTCCTACTTCATGCCTGTGAAGGAGGTCTTCACTCTCCATCACACAAGCCAAATGTCCAACTGGCCCACCCTCACAATGTGTGAGGATTTTTTGCTAGAGAGTGGCGTTCCACCCCATTGGTGTCTCTAACACACAGGTGCAATCAGTGCCATCACAGGTGAATGAAAAGAGGCAATTTAGTTGTGTGTTGCTTTAAAGGTAGGAAACACAACATTTGGGAGGTGGCTCCCATATTACACTGTCAAGCTCGCAACATCTCCCCGAGATAATGATGAAATTAATACCGAACCTTATGACAGTCTTCGATCTTAGTCATTCACTCGGTGAAAGCTTAGCACATTCCACAACAAGGACCCTTTATTGAAAATTTGATACCAAGTCAAAAATTTCAAACTCAATCTCCGTTGTCTAGTTTAATTTATTGGCTCAGTCTCAAGTGCTTAAACTTCTGTTTGGTAATGCGGTCATGCTCTCTTTTCCAACCTTGCTGTTAACACGCCAAAAATGACAATAGCGAAGTGCTAACAGACATATGGGATGGACGCGCGTTTCCATCATTCTCATCTTTTTACACATCGTAATCTGAAAAAGTGAGGACTAAAAGTCACCAGTTTGGTTTAACAGTTAAGAAGTGCGACCAAAAGTGCAAGTGTAACAAACAAATAATACCAATGGTTTTGTGTACACACATTCCGTTAGTTAATAAGTGGACTGCGCCCGCTTTAAGTAAAATCTGGCTTTTCATAAGGGAGAAAGTGCATAAATATAAAATAAAGCAGTGAAGAGGAAACGCAAAAATTTCAGCTTTTCATTCTTTGTACTTATTCGGTGGAGACGACAATCTGAGGCAGTAATAGATACATGAGTGGGGTTGGAAACTTGTCCGCGTGGGTTCGCGCTTCACGAGAGGGCACTTGACAAGTGCACGACAGTAAAGATAATTAAAAGGTTGTCACACGAGAAGTAAAATGCTGCAGGTCACACAAAGCCTTCTCATTATACTCAGCGCCAGAAGTTGTGATACTTTAAATGTTCTATAAAATTCATCTTTTCCCAAAGGCTAACAGAATGAGCCTCTTATCCACGCTTTGATTTTCCAATCCGCTTCATTTTAGCCGAAATTCAATATAAATCAATGTAAACGTATTATATAAGAATTGAAACCAGAAAAAATGGCCAAATTTCATAGACCCAGAGCTAATGTCCCCTAAATACTACAATAGCCTTGCAGAGAGGTGTGATGAATTTGGATAAATTTGGGATTAAGAAATAAACCGAAGAGCTCTAAAAAAGAGGACCGTTATTGAGTAACGGTGAGTCACTGGAACAGGTTCGGTCCCTGACAGCACAGGAAGAGGCGAAAATAAGCAAACTCACCCAATGGCTCTATTACATACAGCCAGCGGTTGTTTGGGCAGACGCAGACGGTTGTGGAGCGTAGCGCCCAAGCCGAGAGCAATTTGGCCAGCAAGAGAATCGCACGCTGGTCGATGGCGTGGTGTCAGTCCTGAGAGAGTGATGTGAGTGTTGGGACCAAGAACTCGAGCTCGCATCTGTGACATCACGTTGGCCACGTGAGGAATGCCCGAAAGTCTGGGGCGTAATTGAAGGTAATTTCGAAAAAAATCTGACATTCAGGTTTCAATGTCGCATTTGGCACCATTTATAAAAGGCTAGTTTCTAGCTTTGCATTTTCTAAACTCTGTGAAAATGGGATGACTTCCGCTTATGCTACTACCTGCAAATTTCTATTGCTGTTTTGTCACCAAGTTCAAAGAGTGTGAGAACAGCCACTTCACGTTTCAGAGGTCAAAGAAGAGGGGACGGTCAAGATGCGTTTGAAGCCATAGCGACTCAATAATGGTTTAAACCTGCATCTCCGCACTTAGCGATTTTAGTGTTTTAGCAAAATTGTGGTTAAATGAAGTCAAAGAGGATTTAGACCACGTTTCGGGCTGTTAATCGTGCATAAAAGCTTTGAATTTAACCTTGAAGAACCAGTTTGATGAAACGAGGCAGATACGCCCATCTAATTCTACAGTATTCAGAGTTATCGTTGAATTGGAAAGCCTATCGATTAGGAGAAGAAATCAGTCCACCACATTCACTCATATTAAAAAAAAGTAATTCATTTAAACACTCTTTTGGTGTTTCATAAGAGAGAACAAAAGAAGAATAAAAAGGGAAACTTGAAGTAAAATTATTCCCATTTTAACGCAAAATAGCAATGTAATCTGATAATTTCCCTTGCGCGCTCTCCAAATGCATAAACTATTTCATAGTTTATTGGAACAAATGTGACCATTAGAACGTGCATGAATAGAGAATAGGTGAAGTAACCATCGCACCTGGAACCTTCCTCCACAGGTATGTTTTGTGCCTTGCGTTGTTTCACTTCTGCCATGTACTTGTCATAGGCTCGGTAGTAGCGCCGATGAATCTCAGTCAGTATCTCCTCCAATCTAAGCAGATAGTCTGAGTCAAAAGCATCGAGAGCCTCCTCACTCATTTCAAATATTGACTGGGTTGGGGACAGTGGTGGAGGGGGTGGAGACTCGCATAACGGTGGATAGTCCAATACTTCTTCTACAACTTTGACCTCACTCTTTGTCGTTGAACTTTCCGCTAGAAATTTAGACTTGGTTTCCTTTTCGTCAACAGACCTTGAAGAGTCTACCGAGGGTTTCCTCTCAATTTCATTGTTGGTGCATTTTGAATCATTTGACTTTTCAGAGTTCAAAGGTGCGTCATGTCCCACAGAAATCGATGACTCTCCTGCCACCTTTGATGGGACCGTTTCCTCCAATTTTTTTGGTGGGGAGATTAGATGACCTAAGGATGGTTCGATGGTTTCATCACTCGATTTTGTGTCGATGTCAATGGTTCCGAGTTTGGACCTGAATGAACAAAACTGTCCTGTTTAAAAATGAATTTCCAATGTAGCAGTAAATCAATACATGCATAGCAAAAAAACTGCTTTTGCGTAGGCCTACTGAGAACATAGGAGTGTAAGGAGATCCCGACATCTGAGCAGTAGTAAAAGTTTCGAATTTGTGATACGTCAGTAGTCAGCTCTGCCGACAATAGCTCAACGAGCCCAGTGTCTAGGCCATTTCGTAGGTTAGCATATCATCTACCATCGTATCATGCAACTCATCAGCTCTCACTCGAGCTGAGCTGGTTAAACGTGTAGCAAACATTTGGAGAAGTTGGATAGTAGTTGAAATTCAACGAAGAGCCTAGTAGTAAACTTATTGATGTCCCTAGATTAAAGGAGGTTCATTCAATCTAAAAGTCGAAACTGCATTAGTTGCATTTGAATCTTAAATGGGTCTTTAGGAACAGATACTCATTAAAAATGGCTGTTCGAATGAATCAAAACACAACTGCAAACATGTGCCCGTAAATAAAACCAAAAATGACAAACTATGGTTCGAATACTCTACCAATTAGGATTATTTTCTATTCAATTGTTGAGTCTATTCGTTCTCAAATATGTGCATAAAATGTGCTACTTAAGTTTAAAAAGTAGCGTAACTTAGAGTCCACTTTGTGCCTACACAAAGTGAAAGGCAACTAGTCGAGCTGTACACCCCTCCCATTTCGCAATAGCTAAGCACGAAAACCATCAAAGAAAGCAATGTGCTTCTAACATTCAACTATGATGCCATTGTTTACCGCTTTTAATATATTTTTTTATGAACCATCCAAGTGACACCCAACACACAAACACTTCATAAATGCATATTTCATGTTAAAAGTGGCGAAAAAATATCAAAGATTCCGAGATCAAATTACTTATTGAGATTCTAAGTAGCAACAAACACAACCGAGGTTGAAATGTCTGTATGGTGAATTCAATGCATGAAATGGCTGCCCACATATTTGATGAAGATGGTCCCTCCTCATCTGAGGAATTTGTAGTGTCTGTCGAAGTTGAGGTCCCCGTAGGCGAAGGGGGATTAAAGGCTCGGAAATCTGGCATCGGCATCATAGAAAGTGGCCGCCCCGGCGGTCCATTGATATCTCCCACCTCAGGGAAGAATCTAACAAAAATAATGACGAAGTCTTATAACCACCGCACCAATTTGTGAAATTTAAACATCAGGAATCATTTTACCAGTCGAACTACTCGACTGATCATATATCCACAAGTCCCATTGACTACAGCAACCGGAAATAACGATTTACACGGGAAAGCAAAAATTACGCACCTGTAAGGTTGAACTTGAATAAGATTAGGTGACCAATCCCATACGTCACCACGATCATCGATTATACAGACGAGATGAACACCTCTAGGAAATAAGGCCCTAAAAAGAAAAAATTCGAAACAAACATAAATCAAAGCGAGGGAGGGTGAAGAAACCAAAAAACACGCACCTGAGATTAGCAGATTTAGTGATAGGATTGAAACACTCGTCGCGGGAGAGTATGCGCTGACAGAAGTACTTGCGCTTAGGGTCGAGAATACTGGCTAGCTGATGAGCATAAGCGCGGTTACCGAACGTACAGATGTGCATCTGAAATCGCTTCACCATACGGCGCAAAAATTTGCCCAAATGAGGTCGGAATCGGGTGTGGTACATCATCTCGCAACCAGCCAGATTGAATCGGTGCACGTTCTACCGTTAAAAATTCTCACGTCTTTTAAGAGTTGTGAATAAGACCTAGTTCATTATCTTAAGCAGGAGACATTACATAAATGCGTAAGTATGCAGAATTTCTAAAAAGCAAGAAAATTATCTGAAAGATGTGTTTCAAAACAATTTATTGTATCCATTATGTTCACTCTATAAAGGCATCTAACTTGTTCCGTCATCCATCACCTGACAGCCCATGCTTTGAAGTTCCCAATTTGCTAACCATGTTGACCCCGATTCTGAGGTTACAAAGGCCTGATGTAAAATTTGATGCATAGTTTCGTGACAATTAACTAGACGTGCATTCCCATTATCCAAGCGAATATGAGATATTAACTTTACTTCAAAATGCGGCTCAGGTAGGGCAAGGTATCACCACCATAAACTAAACCGGGAACAAAAGTGGGTATGATCACAAAAAAAGTTTGAAAATTTTACATCAGTGACTTCTCGTTAGAAATGAGTTGGAAAATCAGTGATATATCGTAATGTAGATGTTAATTAAATCTCGTATTCAAGAATCTACTTTTGAATCAAAAGAAAAGCAAAGAAGGACGCGGTTCAATGCAACCAATACTTATGCTTAGTAGTTATGCCTTAGCTTACAGGAATAGAAACGTAAATAATGCAACACATCCTAATGGGCAGAAGAAAAACGTGTCTCAACCCTATTTACTTAAAAATTTTGTTAATAAGTTAAAAGAAAACAGCGATCTGTTCTAACGGAATGGGTAAAATTCTTGTAGTACCAAAAACCAGAGATTTTTACCCTATAGCGGAATGCATGAGGTGTGGTAGTGGTATGAAGAACTGTTTGATCCAAGTCAATAAGCAGGGCAAGTTTCCTCGCAGTCAGAAGGGATTCCTCATCTCTAAGTGCAATTTCAGCAGCAACCTAACGGTTGTTTGAGCTAAAGCAGGAAAATGACAACATACCGACTCACTGACGTGCAGATCGGGAATCATGTGGACCATAGGAATACTTGCAGAGGCTTCAGTGATTCTCTCGCCACAAACACCTCCTTCTCTAGATAACTCAAATTAGAAAGGCATCGTAACCAACTTTCTTAAATTTGCACCACATTCTGCACATAAGTCTCGCATTACTACATGATGTCCACATCCCTCGTACTTAAATAAGGGTTGGCTAAAAGTGGAGTTAGCGAGGCAGCAAATGGACAAACTTAGGTCCAAGTGTACAGCCCTCTTGACAAAGCATCGTCACCTTCCCGTAGCCTGGGCCGTTTATGTTCATTTTGGGATGTCCAGGGACTTCCAGTGTGCATACTATGGTAGAGGGAGTTACGGCTTGGCGCTTCTTGACCTTGACTTTCACAACCTTTACAGACTCACAGTATTCGGGTACTTTGACAATCTGGTCTGGAACATTCATCGGAACCCAGTTTAACAATACCAAGAACAGGCAAAATCACAGCACAATCACATGAAAGAACACAACTCTCATCTGATTCGTTGGAATAGCAATCTTAAGAAGTCGCCTTTCCTAAGCATAGGTATAAACACAAAGGGTTTGTCAATGCTTAATAGATTCACTTTACAAATCTTATCGTAATATGGTCATATTGTACACATACGTTAATGAAAAGTGATATATTAGCTTGTATTAATCCAATTTTATTACATCAAAGTCAGTTACTATTAATCAAAAGCACTCATAACTTGTAACGGCAGATATGCAGATACATACTTGAGCGTAATTAAAAAATGCATTTTTTGATTGTCAATAGCAATGTTAAATGAATTTTGTTTGACATGTTGTCGGTTTAAAGATGGTGCTGAGTTTGCCCAGATCTCCCATTTTGCTGACGTTGAATGTTATATAATGTGGATTTATGGCATCCCAACTGTCTGTATTCCTTAACTTCTGCTGATTGTGTTTCGATTTTGGTTTTACGATGCACATTTTGGAGCTTCACTGGAGGCTTTAAGTTGCAGTATTACGGTCATGGAATGGGAGGACCACTGGAGTCCCAAAGGCCATGGCACCGAAAATACTTCAGCGATGTAAAGCGCCAAGAAGTAGATGGCATAGGGCGTGAAAAAATACCTGTATTTTTCGAGAGAATAAGAAGACTCAGGACTCTTGCTTGAACCCAATGCTAGCTCACCCAGTGAGGAACAATATTAACACCAAGGTGTCCACCAGCTTTATGGGTAATAGAACAAACAAGTTATTACAATAACAAACTCTTTTAGCGTTTCACTACGCCTTAATGTGGGCATATTGGAGGACATCAGCTGCCATTTGATGTGATACCGCCCTATGAAAATTTAATTCTTGTAAATGAGTGTTGCTCTACATGCATGATCCTCCCCAAATAAACAATTAAATAGGTAAATTTTGCTTGAATTAAAATAAAAATTTGAGGACTAAATCATCTGGAATGCCCTTAAATACCAGTTTTCATTGACTGCTGACAGGGATGACCTGACCTGGTGGCCCCGTTTCACCCGTCCACTAGAGTTGGGAATGTGGGTCACAACTAACCTGACATTTCTGCTTATCCTACCACGATCACAATTTAAGTTAGCTATGGGAATGAGAAATAAATAAATGTACGTAATTCCGATTTTGACGTTGAGGTGAACTTTAGGCTCTGCTCGTTTTGCCGAGAATGTGCGATTAATGAATCCACTCTCTCATGACCGCTCCACATTCCTCAATGCTGCCTACGAAGAATTAACAGACGTCCTAGGTTGGTGTAGTATATCTCTCCAGACTTGTTGGATGCCAATACACACGTCTTGTGCAAGAATCAGTGTTTTATTTCATTGCCAACACGACGTACGCCTTCACTTCCCTACTATAATCCTCACAATTGTCAGCGAAAAAGGAATTACTGATCTCACCTAAACTAGTAGTGGCAACTTTCCGATGACTGGTAAGGTGATTGTTATTTGCCTACAAAGAGACTGGGTAAGAACAAATGCACTTGTACAAAGTATTAGGACAACAAGATGGTGATTTAATTGCGACTGATGCAAAAAAGAATAGTTCTAAGATCGCAGAGTATTTTACATGTTCTCGCATTGCCTTTTGCAAAACCACAGGTAATGAAGTTGCGCATTGGGTTATTAGTTCCTGTCTATGGCATGGTTTGAACTGGGATTTCTCACTTTCCTTCGCATTTTAATTATATCAAAATGGATTCATTGAAGAGGCGATGCCGAGATCTGACCAATGCTCTGGGAGTAGAACCTGCCATAAGATGGAAAGGCCGAAAGAAGGGTGGAGTGGTCTCGAGTTGATTAAAAGTGTTACCCCTATTTGAAAAGAGGATTAGTCCCGTAACATGTTGTGTTGACTGCGAAAAATAGCTGATTCTCTGGATAAAATATGAACTGTGGCTCCTTGTGCTCATCACTCTGTCCTATTCACGGTAAACTTTTCGTGTTGGGGGTCTGACGAGGAGGATATAGAATGGATTCAGCCTCAGTTACACCAGTAGCTTTTGTTCTGTCTCGCGAGAACCTCCACCAAACAACTGCTCGAGTTAAGTTATCGCCAGCTGGTCTGGATGCTATTCATTTCTGCGTACTTATATTCCTAGGATGATTTTATTCTATTTCCAGTTGATTAAACGGGTTGTATGCACAATTAAAAGTGATATTTCCTGCTGTAAGTTCCATACACCCACCGATTTTACACAGGCTGCAAAGCATATGAGAGTTGAATAAGGCCTCCAAAATCAAAAATGATATTTTTGCATCTGTCTGAGTCATCTTACCTTGACAGGTGAAATTTCACCGGTTGTAAATGCCATCCTTCTTTCTTGAACACTGACGACTTATGTTCAGTAAACTCCTGAGGTGTCAGCTAAGTTTCGTGTTAAAAATGTCATCCGAGTATGAAGGAAGAGGGTCAACATATCTGCCGGTTGTGTTACCTAACAAACGACAAATGAACAGTCAAGGAAATTTAAGGTGGCTGTAACAGGTGGAGTGAAAATGCAGTTGGCATTCTGCTTCCTGGAAATAGAGGCTCTGTCTTTCCCAAAAAGCTGGAATCAGTTAATGTTCGAGAGGATTTTGGCAAGAAATTGCGTCAGTGGTCCGAGAAGTGGAATTTCAGTTTTAGCAGTCACGACCAGCTAAGGCAGCAATTGAGATGAGATTCGCTTGCATGCCCGAAGGATTCAACCTTAAACGAGCAGTGATGATCAGTGGAAATGAAGGTGCAATGAGAAGAATGAGACCCAACCTGAGGGTCCTCTCCATTACCAGCCAAACCATTAATCTACTTTCAATTCTGCCCTACCACGACTCACCCCTCCATTGCAATGGTTCTCCTTTCAAGCAGTGGCTATGCATGCACGTCTTCTTACACGTCACAATCATTGTCAAAACAGTCATAAGTCGATTAACAAATGCAAGTGCCAAAATTTAGCTCGAAGTTAAAAATTACTTGACGTGACATTCAAATTGACTTCGAATGATCGGTAAGTCTGTTGCATCGCGATCTACTTCCTGTTCGTCTTTTCGACTTCATCCCTTCGTAATGCACGATCGTGGAGATAATGTTGTGTCCAGCTTCTGGGAAAAAGGAAGGAGCAGACACGAACGCATTACTCGGAATAAACGCTGTCAACACTCTGCGCCGCACTACCTCAGACCGTCTCCAGTAGGAATGTGAAGTGCCTTCCATCTGGTTGATCAGCAACGCAATCTACTATTATCAGAACACCAACCAGCCGAGGACACAGTGATTCTCGTGATATGTGTGAACGATGTGACTTGGACTTCAGAGTTCGCTCTTCACGTACGTCTCGTGATCCATCTCACACATCAACCATCGAACGCACCTTTCTGCTCTGCTCTGACTTTATGCTCCGTTTTTAGTATCAAACTAAAAGAGGCGGAGAAGGAGCAGGTGGAGAGGATCTCGAAACTCAATCTGCACGAACTAAAGTGAACGCTTCAAAGTGTACAACTACCCCATTGTAAACCTTTTCCTCAGCAAAGTCCTTCCCATTTCCTTACCCCCTTGATGTGCTTGTAGCTTTCTTCAGTGCCATCATATCCACATTCAGCTTGATGTGGGCATCAACCAACCCTTGGCACCTTACGCAACCATTTGGCTTTAAACTCGTCTTGCGTGGCAAGGGAAGGGTAAATCTAAAAGGTGTGTGGGTTGCGAAGGCAAACCAGAATGCAGGCTGAGGCAACACCACCCAGTCAGGATTTGCCTTCGTTTTTTTGGCAATGGTTGAATAGATGCCGATGATTTTATTGCACTCAAAGCACGCCATTCTTCATCTTCCTATTCCCAGACCCTCCGCACAGCTCCTTGTCTAGCCTATTTTTGTTCCCTTCACTTGGATGGAGCAGCTTCTTTTGTCACTCCCATTAATTCCCCATTGCGAGGCTTTCCTTACACTACAATCAACTGCCCATTTCGGCACATAGAAGAGAAAACCTTGACACATGATCCAAAACACCACGACATCCATAAGCGAAGGGCGGCGGCGGCGGCGGCGGCGGCGAGAATAGGATTACTGAGATGCTGATGTGGTAGGCTAAGAGGCTAGGTTGGCAAGTGAAGGATGATCTTATGAATAAAAGTATTCATTAATAATTAATGAGTGATTGGTTGTTTGATGCAAGCATCCCAACTGAGTTTCCTTCATTTTCTGTAAATTTTGTCTTATTTACAAATCTTTTACTTGTTCACCCAGCAGCGAATTAAAATGGGTGCTTTGTTGAAGCACATAACGCTTTTTGCCGAACGTTAAAAAGAATCGCCATTCTCAAGTATTTGGTCCATCACCGTTGCCATTAGGTCGCTCACCTTTGCACCCCAACGTGGCTGTTTTGACTGCAGTTGTTGACATTCAAGCTTAACCAGGTGGGCTCGAATCAGCAGTACAAGTAAATCTAAAATCCAACAAATAAATATGGCTACGCTTGAAGCACTTCATGACCTGGCCTCCTTCCAGCACCATTCATTTTTTAATAACTCAAGATGATTGCAGTTTGGCGTGAATTTGGACTTCCAAATCCACGACTCCATTCGCAACACCACCTCACACACAGCGAGAAGTGCCCGCGTCTCACAGAAGTGCAACATCGTAGACGATTTGCGACTCTTTTACCGACTGCGTATTTCGATGTGGTCTATAAAAACGCCCTCCTCATGCTAAAGCTGCGGACAGCAAGTCGAGTGCCATGGTCTGTGGATGTGGCTGTAGCTGTTGCGGTAGCAAATGCTGTGGTTTCGACTGTGGATGGGGATGCTGTTGCGACTGCTGGTAGGTTGTTCCGCCTTGATGCTTCTCTTTGTCCACACCAGCACTGACAATGATGGCGAGTGGCGAGTTTAACATTTTGCTGGACATTTCGTGACTGTCCTCTTCACCGTGCCAATAATCAGTATCAAGCGGTGCACCAACTCTTCTCCTTAAAAATGGCATTTCAAACACTAGAGACACACAATCGTAATGGCATCACGTGGGTTTTGTTGTGCTTCAGTGATCCTGGCCTAAGGTTGGATGATGAGCCAATTTTACCTGAACCACTTCCAATGTGTGAAGCTAAATAATCAAAGTCCTGTTGTTTAGTGGACTCTGTTCATGTCCAAACTGATGCCAATTGCATTTTTATTTTTGTCTTTTAATGTCTCATGACTCACCCTTCTGAGTTCACGCTTTTGTCTACGCATCGGTGAGCTCGATGCTCGGCCTTCGCAACCGATTTTTCCGCTCAAATCTACAACTGTCAACTGGTCATTTTTCTGCTTTCTAAAAGGAGCGCTTGTTTTAATAATCTGACCCATTTTGCATTTTAAACGGCCTTTTTTCAGATCGCAAATCTCCATTTCACCCAGGATTTGCCTAATTGAAACCGTTTGCGGTTCGCTTGTCAGCAGTTCATCTGCAATTTTGGGATGTGAAAGTAGATAGTTTTGACGATAGTTGTTGCAGTTGAAATGAATGTAAATTTGGTTTGACCTCGCTAGGATTTGCTCGCTCTGCCTATCGTTTCACTAGCCATTTCATTCTGGTAGGATTTGGCTCAACCGAACAATAACTGACTAGATTAAGTATTAAATGTATTTTTTCAACATTGGCGCGAACAGTGGTCGAAAGCCTTAATTAGATGCCGGACTACGCCTTGTGACGAAGTAAAGTGTTCTGTAATCCACCCTACGAAGACCGCCATTTCTGCCTTCTCTGGGCTGTTTAACAATCTTCGGAAAGGATAAATTGGGTTGTTTAGTTCAAAATCAAAAGTTTCCACACCAGAGAGGCCTCCGTTCCTAGCACTCAATTAGAAAGCCTTACATAAGGTAACCCAATGCAGAAAATCTCTTTTTCCCTTCACCACTGCTGCTGCCTCTTTTTTTGTTTTTCACAGAACATTAAAAAGTGAATCAAGTATGGAACAGTGTAAACTGGGTGAATACGTTTTAATGTCTTATGTAGCCCTAAAAATTGACAATAAGTAAATTTAATTAGATGCTATGACTTCAATTTTAGTATCAATTTATCACACTTGTAACAGAGTGATACTGATGCTTTCATTAATTTCCCTTCGGGATTTTAGCGGAGGTCCCACCAGTAACAATGAATGCACGTCATTTTGTAGGAACCGAGGCTGCGGTGGTTGTAATTTAGACAACTACTCCTACGATGTAGGACCCGGATGGCATGGCTGTGGCTATCAAGGTGGACATCCCTCTTATTGTGGTTGTGCGGGCTGCGGCCAAGGCGGCCGCGGTAGATTTTGGTGATAAACTTATTAACCGATAGCTTAGTTAGTTCCCTTGTACTTTTGGCTTCAAATACATTCTCTTCCCTTTTCCCCAATTTCCATTCGCCTTATTTCTCATCCGTTCCTTTCAAATGCAAAAGACTAAGTGCTTCAAAACTGGCCAATTAGATTTGACCATGAGACCGGTCAATATCTTAGTCAAGTGTCAGTTGTCATCATGGTAATTATTCTTTCCTACAGTATGGCACTGAAGTTCTGCAAAAATTTGTCTGCCTCGCCCCCATCGTTATCTGTCCAGTGATAAAGCTTGAAGTGAATAGCATCAAAAATAGCTCTAAAAGCACGCCCATATGAAAGTCCCGTAAACAAAACAGCAACCAAGGTGAATGAAACATCGCCTCAAGGTCGCGTACTCGCGGGCAGGTAGGCAACCAATGGGCTGCAGGCGAGTTGCAGTCAGTATCGCAGTAGCGCCTCCTCGCCGGCCGGTAAATCGCCTTGCCCCAATTTGCAGGCCCAGACTTGGGCTTTTAGTCCAGAAACTGGACAAGGCTCGTATCAATATTAGCAGAAAACTAAATCATTGTTTTATTCCACGCATATTTTATGAGGCTACTCGAAGGGTATGTGCTTGACGCTTTGAGTTAATAAATTGGTAGTTTCACAAGTGGGGATACCATAGTTTCAAATCCTTAGGAAGAACTTTAAAAAAGTCGTAAGAACTTTGTATGGCAGTCTGGACTTGGAATTTTGTGCCTGGCAGTATTTTCATTTTCTCTCTCTCCCCCCTCTCATCTTCACTCAAAACGCATTTCAGTAGATGGATTAGAACGAATTGCAGTTTCCGAACTCTAGACCTGCCAACTGACTCATCAAGTAGCTGGTGATTCCGCCTTCCAAAAGTTGGGACACAAAGAGCTCTGCTTCATCACGTCCGCACTTTTCGCCTGTTTCTCCTTTAAGATGAGGCAGGTGTGGAAAGAAGGTCGGTTAAAAAACGCAGATTTTATTGCTCAACATCCCTTGTTGTCTTTGAAAGGGGAGGATTCAAGCCGATGTAGTGAAGCAAAAGAATGCATCTTGTGCTGAGAGACCCAAGAGAACTGAATATGCTGCCGTTTAAACGCATCCAACATTGTATAATGCCTTTTACCATATTAAAAAAGGCAGTGACAGCCTGAAAGGTTGACAGTCGTTGGCTAATCTGCTCAAATTCGAGTTGTCTAAGCACTCACGTAAAAGTTGAACCTCATGTTTGAGTCTAACTTAGTTCGCGTAAAGGACGTGGTTTTAGGGTTGGTGAATTGTTTTACATTTGCTCACATTGTAACATAATGATTTTTGGTTTTGGAAAGTTGTTTTGATCATCAAATTTGGTCGCGAAAATTCTTCTCGCGTAAAGAGAAATTCGTGTGCTTTTATGGCTTGAACCGAGCCTTTGACATTCCTGACCAATGGATGTGAAAAGGGAGGGTATGAAGTTATCCAGTGGTCTCGGCAACATTTTGCAATGCGCGCTTGGTATTATTGTGCTAGTTGGCCTCGCAATGCGTTGTAAGGCTCAATCGATTTTTTTGCGCACCACTTACCTCGATTTCATCGATTCGTTCATGCATCCATCGCCAGCCTAGGCGTAGTGCTCCTTACATCAATAAGATTGGTATCATCGTTGTGACAATCGCGCTGAGAAGTATGCAGCGGTGAGAAGTAACACTTAAAATGGGTATTTGGAAGCTAACATTATTTTGTTCAAAATCTTAGTTTTTAGCCATACAGCCTTTCAAAAGTGTTCAGTGCTTCTAGAATAAAATCAAAACCATTCAGTATTTAGACCGAAAATGATTGCAATGTTCATTCAATGTAAAAATTGTTATTCAGGAGTTTTTGGACTCGTTGCACGACAACGAAGATTTTTAAGTGGCTTTAAAGAGGACTTAATAAAAAGCTGGGGCAAATGTGTCAATGATTTCAAAAGATAAAATAATGGTAGCCAGGTGGTCTTTAAAATGTAAAAGTCAGTTTATTTTTTCACCTCACCGTTTACAACTCTCCTATCAATTTTAGGGGCATGTCACAGTGACAAAATGTCAGCTGGATTAGTTCCATTAATTTTGTTCAATCCTTGCTGACGGCAATACAAGGCGTGATAACAACAATAGTCAAAAGATGTTAAGCTAACTATTATAACTTTAAAAGATTAGTTAAAGTTTCTCTACTTAACAGTGATAGGTGCTTTAAATTCTGGCTTCAAAATTTTGCCAAAAACTTCAAGCATGTAATGGGTGTAGGTTTGTATTTTTAAAGGGGAGAAATAGTAGTTCTTATTTTCCTCCAAAAATCCTGATTCTAAAATTCTTGTAA